AACCATGCCTCGAACAACATTTTGACAAAGGAAAATATTGTTTAAAATCACCTCGGCTCCTCTCCATTTCCGGGCCTAACACTAGTTCTGGGGCACCCTGTATAGTAACAGAATAATCGCGTAGCTGTAAATATAACAAAAAGATCTGATAGAGCCACGGAAAGTTATTGTCCCTTTCAGTTAGACGCTGACGCGTTTTTAATTTGAAATTGGTGACTTCAACTAGAAACGGTTCTGCCGTTCGATACGATCCAGTTATGAACGCTGATCAGGTGTTTCTTCAACATCCACTTGTGCCGAATCTTCGCTCCGCACACGGGGCAACTGTGTTGTGGATCTTTCCCGCATTCCTCCCTCTCGTGCCTGATCAATGACTGCATCCACCTGTACTCCTTGCCGCAGTTCGAGCAGAAGTGCCTTCCGAGTCTCTTGTAATAGTCTGAACCGCAGTAAGCTGAAAGAACAATGCACTCTCTGTAATTAAGTTCAAAGGTGTTCGTCCGATCGGGTAACATCTAAGCGTACATACAGCCTCTGTATGCGTGTCCTGTTCCTTTCTATAAAAAAAAAAAAGAAAAACAGAAAAGGTATCAAGACAAACTTTTCTTATCGCTACTCACATCGAGTGCAATAATTGAAAACACTGTGATTTCTGGTGAAAACGCTTTATTAAAATTGCGAGGCGTTTCGAATGACTGATAGTTAGCAAAATGTTTGAAATAAACGGTTGCCGAACGTCGTTAAATTAAATTATTAGATTCATCTTCCTTTTTTCCCCTCGTGTTTTGCTGAGTATATGAATCTTCGTTCAGATTTATTCGCGCAATGATTGTTCGATTTAAGACACAAAGACAGAAAGGGAAACGACAGAAGATATTTGAATCTTATAAAACAGTATACTCTGTTCCGCTTACACGTGTAACACATGGTATGTATGTACAGTGCTGTTTCCTTAAGACAAGTGGACCTTTAACGTAGAAGACATTTAAAAATTTATTTACATTATACACATATCAAAATGTTTGTTTCAAGCGACGTTAGAAAAGTTACAATACGAACGTGATGATTAACGATGATCCGACGACGTAGATGATTTATAGGATCGAACATTCAAGCTCGAGTTCATCATCTCGTTGTGTGTTTAGAAATATAATCGATGTTCTTTAAATAATTGATGATATCAGTCTTATACAAATGAACGAGTCCATAGTCAAACTATAATACGGTAGTATCCAGTAATCTCGTATTCTGTACCTTTTACATTCTCTGTACTACCATTCGCGGAATGTTCAGGTAAATCGTTAGAAAAAACGTGACACGCGAGTAGAAACGTTTTTATCGCTGTCTAAAAACGGAAACCTTGAGGTTTCGGAAGGAACGAAAAATATGACGGAATATAGAACGGTTTCGTGTTAGGAAGCCTGTTGCGAACTTAGGACTTCGGGCCTCGTTCATTCTAGCTTGTGCACGTTACTCTCGTGACGCAACAGGTAGTCCCTGCGTTTAAATTTTCTGCCGCATAGCGTGCACTTGTGCCTAGGTAACTTGCCGCAACCCTCTCGAAGGTGCCTGGTCAACGAGTCCGTCCACGTGTAGCGTTTCCCGCATTTGTAGCAGGTAAACGGGCTGTCGTAATTAACGCGATTGTGGTCCCGCTTCAAGTCTGAAACAGATCGCAAACAGGACGAGAATGAGATCAATCAAGTTCCCTTGCCCCGCGACTCGTTCGTATCCTTTTCATCTCGCGTATTGCGAGTCGTAGTCTAATTTCTTTTACGAGTTTCTTTTTCTCTTTAATTGCACGAAAGATGTCTGATTGCAAGAATCTGTATTTCGTCGAGATCTTTGCATTGATCGTTACATTAATGTTAATCTTTAGGGCGTGTGCAATACTTCGGGACCGCGCGGTAAAACTTCGACCTATCAGGATTGTAAAGCCTGGCTTACACACGGATAGTAACGTAGTCCTTTAGTATTATTGTCAGGGAACTTAATCACCAACGATTATTAATAATAATTATGATTTATTAACACACAAGAAAAAACACTGATTACACTTAAACAAATGAACTACTGTAAAATATGCATGCTCGAGAGTTGTCTCAAAGCACGATGCTTGACTCGAAATACAATCTTGGCTAGACTGTCCAGCCGTACGAAGTGTCGCGTTCGAAAAGCGGTTGCAGAGTAAGTTTCGTAGCTAGCGGCGGAAAATTTTTTGTGGTTCAAAGGGCGGACTTTACTTTTTTTTACGAATTTTTACGAATCTCATTGGTTAATGATGAGTAGGTAGGATTCGGCTGGAAAAAATCTCGTAAGCTCAAGGACTGATGAACCTAAAAGTCCCATACGGACAAAGAATCATAAACCGGGAAGGGCCCGCAGGTACAACGAATCTTATACCGGGAAAGATCTGCAAGGACAGAGAGTCATAAATGGGGAAAACCAATGACGCGTTTTCTATACGACTTTTTCCAACTCGAGGTCACGTATTCCATTTTCTTATATAATTATATAATTAAATAATAATGTTTAGTGTTATATTAAAATAAAATTTCGTTTGCTTGACGGAACAGGGCAAATGATTAAAATAAGGGCCGAGTTACACTGGTCGATGATCAATTTATTTCTCCTTTCCTTATTTTTATACCGCTTAATTCCGTACTTTCAATCGATCGTTTACTAAATCAGCGTAAAGCAGACGCTTAAGGGTACGAAGAAGGAAATGGTCATGGAAAGAGAAATGTTAGTTAAATTATTCTTCCCTTTATTTGTTCTCCATTTTATTGTATCTGATCAAACGTAAATTCTATCCTACTTGTAAAACAATTAGCTGGGACTTGGACAAAGCAAACCGTTATTATATCGTTTACTTCGAAATTTTACGTCGCATGTCTACTCCCGCGCTAATATTGATTTGTTCATCGAGCGTTTCATCGAGGAAACTTGACAACTCGGCCCTAGGTTGCTCTTCCTTTATCGCTCTAGGAGGACCGTACATCCCGTGAATCGTTGAGTTGTGACGCTTACAGTTGATCTTCTGATGGAATCCCTTGCCGCAGGCATGGCAGAAGTACTTCGGCGGTAAACCGCACTCGTCGTGCATGTGACGGTTCAAGCTACCTTTCCATTTGTACGCTCTCTTGCACCTGGGGCACACGAACGGTTTCGGATGCGATTCTTGGCCCCGCGTCGACAAATATCTGTTCCTCGAGCAACTTAGACCTGAAAGGTCGAAAAGCTTTGATTATTTCATCTAACCCCGTGCCCAGGCGAAATCAGAAACGCGTTTCCGTTAATTATCTTCGGTGACGCCAGCCATTTATTTTACGGTTAACGATCCTTTACTCTCTGACCGAAGTAAAAGATAGTTAAAGTGAGTTTTATCTTGTGTGAGTTATGAGACAAGGGAAAAAGAATTTCCCTCAAGTTTTCTACTCCCTGATGTCGTATCAAAATTAATCTTGTCTTACATTCTATTCCTGATCATACGTAATGCAACCGTGAAAGTTTCATCTCCGATTCCCTTGGTTTTTTCGCGTGGTGCGTGTATAAAGTTTTTGTAAGTGTAGAAAAGAAGTGTCCTTATCCGCTGCGGTTAGGCTGTCCGCCAGGTAGCGAGGCGCCGATTTATTCACCATTTGTTTCGTTTTCATCCGTCAAGTGAAATATTGATAAAAATATCTAATATTACAAGTGAAATTGTGGAGGATGGGATGCATTGATTTACATCTTACATTATATAAACGAACATTCATAAAAGTAAAATTTTACATATAAATATCGCGGGCAAACTTGCGACGGGGGATGCTGAATGATAAAGAAACGTAATGCCGATGATTACGTCTTGTTTTTGAATATTTTATTCTGAGTTTTGCAAACATTTAAATTGAAATTAAAAAAGAAAGAAGCGGGAGGTGTGAGATCCGAGCCACGAATCGTTCTGTACGAACGGAAGTCGACATGAACCGTTCGTACTGGAAACGTTCGCGTTGTCACGTCGAGAGTTCGCATATCTTCCAGATGATGATCCTTCCCGCATGTAAGATCTTCCTGAAAAAATGATCTTCCTGTGTAGAACTTTTCTGACGAAGCGTTCTTCTCGCGTCGGAGATCTCTTTGACAAAATCTTCTTCCGCGTGTAAGATATTCCTGAAACAGGAGCGAAGATTTCAATTCTTAACTACGCGTTCTGCAAGAGGAAAGTAACAAATATCAAGTTCGATAGATCTTCTCGTTGAAGCAACTAACGGGACGTAAAAGAATTCAAGGCAACGGATAGCTGACCTTATCTACGAGCCTCCAACGAAAACTGTTACCTCATCGATGCTAGAACTAAAAATCGCAAACAAATAAAAGACAGAAATATGAAGAATTATATTTATACTTAGTGAAACATTAAAAAATTGATAACGTTTATTGCAATAATCGAATACAAGTCTTCGGCCATAAAAGATTAAACTGATGCATACTCGACCTGAAAAGACGAAGACGTTGTTTTCGTTCTAACTTCGATATTTAACGAGTTACGTATGATTATTTGGCATTTTATTGATTTTGACAAAATCCGACCATCCCAGCGTCGAAACGGCGAACTTTTGGCAAAAAATTTCATTTTTCCTTAATTACTCTTAAACCGTTGAATCCACGGGAAAATTGTATACGACTTTTCTTGTAGAGGACGATGAGATCTACAATTTCTGTATAAAATTTTTTCGCTAGCATTAATATTTAACGAGTTATTGACGAAAAACGAAAAAACAGTTTTTTGCAAATTACTCGTTAACTATTGACGCTAGCGAAAAATTTTTACATGGAAATTGTAGATCTCATCGTCCCCTACAAGAAAGGTCATATGCAATTTTTCCGTATGTCCAACGATTTGGGAATTATTGGCCAAAAACGAAAATTTGAAAAATATTGAAGGGGTACCCCTTGGAAAAATCTCGGAAAAACGAAAATTTTTTTTTGTTGTTCATTATTAGCAATGTTCTTTCGACGTCTGATTTCTTTTTAAAAAATGCGTTTCTAAAGTGCATAAACTTTTGGAATTGAATGTATAGCCAATACATCCTCAAACGTACGTGTCTACGAAATGGGATTGAAGAAATGTTTTATTTCGGCTCGTATAAACGGAACTGTCGAGCTATGTTACAAAAGTAAAGTTACGTTCGAGTTACGTAACAATTAGTAAATAGATCTCCGTGGCGACAACTTCTTAGGTGCTGCGTCATGTGGTGCCTGTGTTTAAACATCTTCTCGCATTGAGGGCACGGCACGTTTGGCACTTTCCCGCACTCATAACGCATGTGTCGGTAAAGTGAACTCTTTTGACTGTACACCTTGCCGCAGCTACACACGTATTTCTTCAGATTCGTCGAGTCGAAATCCGGGTAGCTGTCGTACACGAGCTCTGCTCCTTTCGCGGGGAACATAATCATCTCGCCTGAAATCAGAAACGTCATTCTACCGTTAAACACTTATCCACAACTGAATTGCACGGATCCATATTCTCTGTTCTTCTAAAACTCACTTTGTCTTCTTTCTTCCTCCTATCATTTAACATACAGCAATACATAATAGCATATAACAATGAACATATACAACGCTTTCGACCTAAAATAAAATGAAAATTTCGTTTTACTTGCAGTTTCAGAATGACTTACAAAAGTTTATCCCATTGACGTCCTATGTTATATATTTAAAAATAGTCAAAGTGAATGAGGTTGTACATATC